CCCCAAAACCCCAAAACCCCAAAACCCCAAAACCCCAGCAAAGTTTAGAAATCTTGAAATTGAGATATGAGTAAGTTGGTAAAGTAATTATTTTCTTCTTTGAGTAAAGCTTGGGTTGGAGCTTGGATTGAACCCTAAGGAAGAACCAACACCTGAGGTTTTCTGTCCAAACCCAGTGCCTGTTGAAGTACCAAATCCAGCTCCTGGGGATTTGCCGAATCCTGCCCCTGATGATTGGCCGAATCCAGTCCCTGATGGCTTTCCAAATCCGAAACTAGAGGATTTAGATGGTTGATTATCACCAAAGATATCCTCTTCATCCATTTGATTGTCATTAGCTCCACTTGTTAGGAATGAATTGGATTCTGATGTCTTTGCAATACTTTTGAATCCCGTAAATCCACTTGGTTCTTTATTTTTGCTTCCAAATGTTCTTCCGGCATTTCCAAAGGCACCAGTTGTCTTAAGAGCAGTAGTAGATGTAGAAGGTTGGCCAAAGGAAGGCTGTCCAAATGCTGATTTTCCAAATGATGACTCCCCAAAAGTTGCTCCTCCAACAGTTGGATTAGTGGTAGGTATTCCGCCCCCTGTTGTTGGGTTTGACTTAAATAAATTTGAAGCTGTACTACCAAACATTCCTCCTTCTGGCTTTTTCTCAGATTTCATCGCAGAAAAAGGAGATATTTTAGAGGGAGCTCCTGATCCGAAAGGGGAGGGTTTCTTCTTTGGAGTTGACTCTTGAGGTTCTTCTTTCTTTACTTCAGTTTCTTTTGATTTTTCAGTCTCCTTTGTCTTTTCAGTATCTTCCTCTTTTGAGTCATCCTTTTTCTTAGCATCTTCTTTTGCTTTAGCTTCTTTCTTAATCTTTTCTGCTTCTCTTGCTGCTTTTAAAGGATTTTTCATTGGGTTAGATGCTCCAATTGTCATTGAAGTTTTATGACCCATTTTAGTGCCAAACACATTTAATTTTGATTGGTCTTTCTTCTCAGATTGTTTATCGTCTTTAGTGCTTAACTTCTTCTCTATCTCATTTGCTATTTTAGCTTTAACAGTCTTGTTGAACAAAGTTGATTCAGTGCCTTTAGACTGCTTCTCATCTTCTTTCTCGTCTACATCATCTCCTCCAAAGCTGAGGCCATCAAGTAGATTATCTGGAGCTCCAAATTTATTTAGACGGGCTAATAACTTCACTATTTTTCTTCACAAAAGCAGTTGAAGGAGGAAGCTCGACTCCTGCCTCTCCTTCTGACTCATTAAGTGAGGGATCAAGGACATTACTGCTTTTAAAGCTAGAAGGAGCTCCTGTCATTGTTCTTTTCATTGGGATCTCTGAACTTATCTTCTTGGTCATACCAAATTCGAGGTTTGCGGGGTCTTCTTTTGAATCTTTGTCAAACTCTTCTCCAAATGACATATTGCTGCTAGTTTTTTTACCGGAGGCTTTAGAATCCTTTGGAACTAATAGACTTGTAAAATCAATTTTCTTACTCTTTTGCTCTTCTTTAATGCTAGTTTTCTTCTCTGGCTTCACATTCAGCTTTGGGTTAAAGCTGCTTATTTTTGGAGCAACTTTAGCCTCTTCTCTAACTCTTGGTCTTGGATTAATCTATGAAAGGGGTAAGTCACTAAAAATGAAGTGGAAAGTCAAATTTATGGTGAGTTTACATACCTTAACTTCAACCATAGCAATTCCTCCCTTAACATTGGAGGACCTCGACTTCATAGAAGCTTTTAATTCCTTCTCGAACTGAATTTGTAAAGCCTTGGGGTCTTGAATCTCGATCAATCCTTTTGCTATCTTGTTTTCTCTGTAATGATCTCTGTAGAAATCTGGTCTCTCTAGTTGATCTTTAGGTTTTTCAGTAATTTCATCAGTGAAATCAAACTTATACCTTGAGACGGTACTTCAGGTAGATTCATTATCATTACCTCTAAGGTATCCTTTCTCTTGCATTTCTTTAGTTATTTTTTCATACTTCTGATCGAGAATTTTAACAAGGTACTCATCATTGTCTATCAGGTTGTTGATAAAGGTGTTATAAATTTTGATGGTTTCTTTATCATTTAGTTTTGTATTGTTGCTTTTCTTTAGCCCTTGCTTAACTTTCTGCATTCCTTTTCTATCCTCTCTCATCAATTTCTGCATAACACTTGACTTCTTAGCCTTCTTTAAGAAAGGATCATCATTAACTCCCTTAATTTTAATAGTCCTAGGCTCACAGAAATTATTATTGAGCTTCTTTGCTTGTAAGGAAAGATCCTTAATAATCCTCACATACTTAATAGCTTGTGCTAGGGTAATCTCTCCTCTCTCTAGCACCATCTCAATCTCTTCCGTAAATAGCGTATTATTCCTTAACTTATCTCTAACTTCCCTCACTGCTCTGGTATCGCTCTTCTCTAGTGCCCAGTACTCCAGTATCTTATCAAACCTCTCATTCTGGGTCTTGCACTGGTCTGTAACTTTTGCTACTTCTCTTCTGTACTCGTCAAATTCTTTATCTCCAGCTACCACTCTTCTCTTATATTCTTCCACTTTGCCCTCTACTTTCACCCCTACATCCAGCACAGGCATCTGCTTAAAAGCCTCGTTCACACTCTCAGCCACTGTATGCTGTATCTTCAGGAACAACTTCTCGAAAGGAGCAGCTGTGGTCTCCACAGCTGGCTGCTGGAGAGAGGGTTTTGGAGAAGCAGTTTTAGGGGCAGGAGTGGGAGTGGGGGTTGAAAGGGGTGAAGGACGGCTGGGGTTGGGAGAGGGGGAAGGGGGTGTAGTGGGGGTGGAGGAGGGAGTGGGGGTGGAGAGGAAAGAGAGGGGGGTTTGGGATGGGGTTGAGGGGAAGAGGGAGCCGACGCCTTTGGTAGTGGGGTTTGAGGCGTCTTGGGGTTGAGAAGGAGGTGGAGTTGGGTTTTGTGGGGTTTTAGGCTCTTCTTTTGGCTTGAATGGGAAGTGGGGTTGGGATTTTTTAGTTGTTTGTTCTTGATCTTTTGGCTTTTGTGACATAAATACATTTTCTATTTTCTTCTCTTCTTTCTTTGGTTCTTCTTTCTTTATGTCTTCCTTTTTTAGCTCTTCTTTGGCGGGCTCTTCTTTCTTTGGCTCGTCTTTCTTTGGGAAGAGAGAGCTAGAGCCAAATTTTCCGAACATTGGAGTAGAGTCACCTTGCTCAAAAATATTCTTAGTTTCAGAATTAGTTGGTTTTCCGAATGATGTCGTCGAACTTCCCAAGATAGATTTCTTCTGCTCTTCCTTTGGCTTAGAGAATATACTATTCGTTGTTCCAAACACTGTTGTTTTTGAAGTATTACTATTTGTTCCCAGTGAAGAAAAAGCACTTTTAAATGGAGTTGAATCAGCTTCTTCAGGCTCATTCTTAGTCTGAGTTGCTTCAGCCTCTTTCTCAACCTCATCCTGCTCAAAATCATCACCGTCCTGTTCACCAGGAGCGAAATCAATATTATCTTCTCCTGATATCTCTGCTAGAGACAGTTGAGATCCTTCATCTGGCTCTTGAGCTGCATTCCTCTCGGTTTTCACTTTATCGAACGAATGGTCAAAATCCTTAAAATATACCTCATAGAGATCAACCTGGCCTGTATAAGTCATAGTAATAACTTTCCTAGGAGTAGCAACTGTAACTTCTTCTTCAGTAAACTTGTATTGACAAGTATCTGGATCCTGAGGTGTCAGCTTAAATGGATAGTAAATAAGTCCTTTAAATGATGGAATCTCTCCATCTCCGTCAACTGGAGCTAAGAGTCTGATGCTCTGTTCTTCTACCATAACTCTTGCCCAGTTGCCTTCTTCTGTTTTGTAAAGAGCATCAATAGATTCTCCGTAGCTAAAGTATGAAAAGTTAAATCTCGTGTTTCCAATATTCATTAGCTTGTATTTCCCGGGAAGTTCGAGGATGTTATCTGATGGATCGAACATTTCTTCAAACAGAGTGATTTTCTGGTAGTTAAATCTGATGAAATCATCCCTGGTAACACCTGCACCAAATTCGAAGATATTCACATTTGCACTTGGGGATTCTCCAAAGAAGATCAAAACTGAATGTTGCTTCTTCAGATACTCTACTGCACATAAGTCCTCTAAAGCGGTCTCAAAGGAATTTAACTCATTTTCTGGCTGGCTTGGGTCAATTATATGAAGACTGGATCCTTCCTTGTCGATGTAGTAGAGTAATCCTTCAACAAAGTTTGCGTCAACTACATTCTCCTTAACTGTTACAGACTTGGTATTGTAGTCAATGATGTGTAGAGCAAAGTCTGAGTCAACCACGACTGCATAAAGAGAGTTAGAGCCATCAATAATGTACTCAAGTCTGCCGATATTATCGTTCTGGCTTAGAGACAAGGTAAATTGGCATTTTCCAATAGATCCATCTGCTTGGATAGAGTGAATCAAAATTTTATCGTTCACTGAAATCAAGATCAAAGCTTTTTCCTTGATCAATTTGAGTCCTTTGATGAAGGACTTATCATGTCCTATTGAGTAGGTCTTCATAGAGCTAGCGACATCTTGATCAGTCTTCAAATCATAAGGGCTTGTATCAAGAGTGGAAATATATCCTCCATTTGCTATAGATCCATTAAAACTACTCTAAAATGTGGTAAAAGGTTTAAATAACTCGCAGACATCCAAGAAGTGGTTGGCAAAGTTTTTGATAAACTAAGAATCTTAGTAACTTATATGGTTGATGAAACAAAGACTTTGAATGCAAAAATCCTAAACACGAAGAGTGCTTACCAAAATAAATAGTTCCGTAATCTTGGTCGAAATCTATCAAGTCCAATGTATTCATTTCTTGAAGCTTTTTAGAGAATTCTGAGTCTTTCTCTCTTGAAGTTCCTTTGTTCATTGGATTTGGAAGAAAGAAGCGGGCTGCTTTCTTCGCTTGAATCATATGTTTAGTATCTACTTCTTCACCTTCGATGATATCTGCCATGATTTTGTTAAATATTATTTTCTACAAAAGGCGAATTATAAGGGGTTTTGGGGTTTTGGGGTTTTGGGGTTTTGGGGTTTTGGGG